TAAGGTTGACACCGTATCATCTGGAAAATTACATTTCTCAGATTTCCCTGGTTTTAGTCCCCACCAGTTGGTCCTTTTGCTCTACAGTTTGCCTCCAAGAAGCAGCTCGGACAAGATAGTGGGGGATATGTTTGTGTTCAAGCATATCAGGAAGGGATATCATCAAAATATGTTCTTGGTAAAACATCTGCTCTTTGAAGAACTTCTTTGTCCTCCTTGGAGGAAAAGCCTATCAATTTATTTCACATGGCGCAGCAGGATATTTCCTGATGATGAGCCGATGATTTCCCTGCCATGTTTCCATGTCTTCATCCTTGCCAGTTTTACTATTAGCAAGACAATAATTAACAGGACAACACAGGGGATGGATCTCTGCATGACAGCCCAGGCGTTAGATGATACCCTGAAGCACGGTATCCAGTTGCTCAGGTCACTTTACACACTGTGGTTGTTTAATAACTGCGAAGCCATTTGATGAACTAATCCCTTGTTCGAAAAGCACATTAAAAATTACATCCGGTGAGCAATGTTCTATGCATTTCCCCTTTCAAACTATAAAGTGTGGGGACCAAAATATTCCTTTGGTGTATAATTGTCCCAAAGGTGCTTTTTCAGGAGGCCCCAGGACTCTTCTTGTTTTTTCTTTGAAGATGTTTCACTTCTCATCCAGGAAGCTTCTTCAGCGCAGACAGGATAGTGGCGAATGTTTGTTACTTATTTCCGTATAATATTTGTGTATATTGTAATATAGTGTATGATAAATAGATAGATAGATAGATAGATAGATAGATAGATAGATAGATAGATAGATAGATAGATAGNCTAGTCTGTGCGATCTTATGGGTCTCTGGGAGGTAAATGGCAGGAGGCGGTCTCTCAGGCATTCTTAATAGCAAAACTTACAGTTCAGTGTTAAGATACTTCTGATGTTCCATGATCTGTCCCATCACCCAACATTTTTCTACTTGCATTTTTACATGCTTTCGAACAGCTAGGTTGGCAGAAGCTGGGACAAGTAATGGGAGCTCACTTCATTACTCAGTGCTAGGGATTCGAACCGCCGAACTGCCGACCTTTGTGATTGACAAAATCAGTGTTTTAGCCGCTGAGCACTGCGTCCCTATCTCAATATTCTGGATAAACCAATGGGGGAAAGTCTCAAAAATCTAGAGCAGATTAGATCAGAGACAAGGTGTATAAAACGTAATATCTCCGTTAAGGCTCCATACTGAGAGTCCAAATACCCACCAACCTCTTAATTAACTGGTGATGGATACGTTGCCCTCTGTATATTGAAAATCAGCCGAAGTCGAACTGGCAGTGGGCAGAATTAGCCTGCAATACCGCATTCTAACCACTGTGCCACCATGGCCCCCAACAACCTGGGTCCTCATTTTACCAATCTCGGAAGGATGGAAGCTGAATCAACCCTGAGCCAGTGAGAATCGAACTGGCAGTGGGCAGAATTAGCCTGCAATACCGCATTCTAACCACTGCGCCACCATGGCCCCCGTCCTCATTTTACTGACCTCGGAAGGATGGAAGGCTGAGTCAACCTTGAGCCAGTGAGAGTCGAACTGGCAGTGGGCAGAATTAGCCTGCAATACCGCATTCTAACCACAGCGCCACCACTGCTCAAGACTCATTCGATAAGATACGGCTAACAAGCCTGAATGCCAGGTTAGTTTGTGAGCGAGTCATGTGGATTTACTGGCAGGTGTTTTGACTTCCCTGAAACAGCCAATGGGTGAAGGTGAATCCAATCTTCAATAAGGGAAGAAGAGTAATCGAGCAAGAAGCATCGCAGATTAACAAATAGTAGTAACTTCTACCAGATTGCCACAAAAGAGAATTCAAAGAATGTGACAGTCTGAAATTGCTCTGGCATTCCTTCTTCCTTACAAACGGCGCTAAGCTAAGTTTTAAAAGGCACCTTGTTTTATTTTTTGCTTACCTGAAAAAAGGCCAAGATTTAGTGATATAGCACCTCAAAAAGTCCCAGAGTTCGTTTCAGCCAACAACTGGTAGAGAACAGAATTGAAGGATATCTTAGATCACGGTTTCTCAGCCTTACCCGGTTTAAGATGAGTGGACTTCAACTCCCAGAATGCTGGCTGGGGAAATCTGGGTGTTGTAGTCCATTCATCGTAAAGTGGTTAAGGCTGTGAAGCGATGTCCCAGATCTCGCAACCTTTTTTGAAACTATTACACATTTAATTTTTTCTGTCACCTACCGTATTTTTCGGAGTGTTAAGACACACCTTTTTCCCCTCAAAAAAGAGGCTGAGAATCTGGGTGCGTCTTATACAATGAATACAGAATTTTTTTGCCTCCCGAAATCCTGCCCCCTTCACCAAAATGGCCGTGCAGAGCCTTTAGGAGGCTTCCAGGGTGCTCCTGGGGGCTGGGGAGGACAGAAATGAGCAAAAAACAGGTCGTTTTTTGCTCAATTTTGCCTCCCCAGACCCCAGGAGCACTCTGGAAGCCTCCTAAAGGCTTTGCATGTTTTTTTTTTTTTTTTTT